AGGTCCAAAAAATACGACATTATCTGAAGTCTCAGCTGAGGATATAAAGAAGAAGAAGTTTAATCTCGTTGTACAACTTTGGAGTAAAATATGTATATTGTACATCACAATGTGTGGACTGATTGGTAATAACGCATCATGGCTTTTGGTAGCGGGACACTCTACAACAAAGATACCATTTTTAAATAATTGCACAAAAATAATAATCAACAGGATCAGGTGAGAAAACCCAGCCATCCTTGGAGCTCCGCAGCTCAGGCATACTTTATTCATTCAACCTTTATTTAGACAGGTTAATCCCATTGAGCCTCGAGGACTCATTTACAAGAGAGACCTGAAAATAGTAGAAACATCATTTAAAATTTAAAAGCATCACAGAAAGGTGGACCGATAGGTCTGAGTTCACTTTTTAAAATCTTTTACGGTTTTTACACAATCACAGATTAAAATTTTTACAGAACAGTTAATGATGTGACTGAAATGTCTAAAACTTCTTACTCCCACAACTTTTTTAGATACATGTACAAACTGTACATCACAATGCAGGGATTTTTGTCTTCTTCCCTTAAGTGTGTCTCTACCTGCTGTAGAACGTGTGATTTACTCTCAAATCCCTCCAGAATGCAGTGAACGCCCAAACGTTCACCAGCTTCAGTTATTTTTTAGTTCAAAAATATACTCGTTAACACTGGAAGTGAAGGGTCTTGTTAACTTCTTGTATCTCATACATAAAACACTGCACAAAAACAAAAGTTCACATGTGAACATCAGTGTTTTCAGTCGCTCACAGTTCAAGAATTTGTAAGAGCTGACTTGTAGTTTTTGCACAACCACCGTTTGTTTAAGGTTTACTTTTTAGTCTGTTTCTGCCTCTCATTAAGTAGGCAGTTAGAGTGACAGACGGTTACCATGGTGACAAATGAGCCACTGGCAGTAGCTTTAAGATTTCTTTACACCAAACTGTGGCATTTTTCTCTAGTTTATTATTTATTTTTACTAAATGTATTAAAAGAATTATAATCATAACAATAATTTGATTTTTTTTTGGAACGTACAACAAGAAAAAGCTTCAGGTTTAAGGGATTAATTTATAAATTATCCAATTTTGGTGTCACGTCTGGTTGCCTAATGAACTGTTTTACTATAATTTTTTGTTTGTTTGTTTGTTGGATAGCTGAAAATAAAAATAAAGTAAGGTAGGAATCATATTTTTAGACCTTCCGTCAGTACTCGTCTTTTTCAAATCTACATGAAAATGTTAAACGTGAGGAATACATCCAGGTGTAAAAACAGCTGGAATACGGTCTGAAGTCAAAAAACATTTAATTAATAATGCTGGCAAAGTATGTCAAAATAAGGAAATTTTCAATATTGAGTTATTTCTGTCAGACACTCCATCCTAAAGTTTAAAAATGACATTTTGTTGAACTTTGATGATTTATCACCTGGAAACAAGCTAGTTTTGTTTACGACTGTGCTGGTTTGAAAACTCGATTTTTATTGCTCTGGAATAATATTAATGGGAATTGCAGCCCTACATAAAAATGAATAATAAAAAAAAAGGTGTTGGGATGCTCTTGCTTCACATCATGATAAACATTATACAAAGGGATTTCCTAGGACTATGACAGCCTGCAAATTTCTATGAGAATTGTTCGAGTTTTATAACAGGTTTATTTCTGAAGACTGTTAGAAAACTTGGATTTAAAGATAGATTAAGACGATTCAATCTATTTTTGTGGATTCCTAGATTGCATGTTTATGGACTTATTATGACACAAATTAAAATAAATAAATAAATCAGTATTTCACATATCTTGCGCTGCAGCCCGAGCTTGTACAACACATTGTGGCAGCACGGGTCACAAATGATGAGCCAAAGCAAAACAAAGACCAAAGATCAGCCGTCAGGAGCTCAGCTTCAGTTCCATCACTTGTCTCCTGCAGTGGTTGTTTCACTGCACACTAAACATGTGAAGATGTCGGCGCAGGAAGGAGAAATACACACTGCACTTCCAATTACACAGCCTTGTTCGGTAATTGATTCCTGTTTTCGCAATTTTCCCTAATCCTGTCTCTGTGTTTGCAGTGAGACGGAGAGGAATTTGTTTTCTGCAGGAAATAAATTAGAGAACAGCGAGGGATAAAATGGATGTTTGAGAACACACCTGAAGAGTGCGAGGACGATAATGAGACACGTCTCATGAAGCCCCGAGACGTCTCATCTGATTGGCTGGGCTCAACCTCCGGCGAGGCCCGGCAGCTTGTTGGAGGAGAATTTATTCCATTTTGAGGCAAAGTGATGAAAATGACGAGGCCGCCCTGGCCTCAGAGAAAGTACATTATTGAGTAGGAAAACACGCAGCAGCGCCTGCGATGGGAAAAAAACGATCAGAAAACCATCTGAACGTCCACGATTTAAAAGACCATTTCATTGGTAGAACATGTCTGCTGTTTGACCAAAACATGTAAGGAATAGATCCAGAAAACAAATCAGGCACAACAAACTACGACCCCGTGGGCCAGAGGTGACCTTTGAACTACTCTAATGGTAAATTACATTTTTCATTTGAAAATTTTCGTTCATCTTTCAAATGAAAGTTTTCATTTTTCAAATGGAAACATATTAAATACATAAAAACAGTATATATTATTAAAGTGGTGGTGCAGCTGGTAGAGCTGCTGCCTCTCAGCGAGCTGGTTGCCACAGTCTAAATCCCAGCTGGGGGAAACTTTGTGGGTGGAGTTTGCGTGTTCTCTTCGTGCATGCGCAGATTTTCTCCAGGTACTCTGGTTTTATCCCACAGACCAAAAACATGCATGTTAGTCTGATTAGTAACTCTAAATTGTCTCTAGATGTGAGTGAGTGTGTGAATGGTTGTCTTGTTTGTCTCTTTGTGTCCCTGTGATGGACTGGAGACCTGTCCAGGGCGTCCCCCGCCTCTCACAGATGGCTGGACATGGGTACCAGTGACCCTTGCAACCCCAAAAGGAAACGGGTAAAAATAATGGATGAATGGAACTCTGCTGCGTTCCTCAAATTTACAACCCTCAGAGCACCTTCATGGCAAACACACACAAAAAAACAGTTTAATCTTGATCATATTTAGATGTGCACAAAGATTCAATCATGTTCAGGATTTTAATCCATTAAACCCAGTTTAATTGAATTTTATTTAAAAATTAGCAAAAAAATGTTTTCCATAGAGTAAACAACTGGAAGGTGATCCAATTGGATATTTTAAAACCAGGATTATCGAGCACGAACTGTTTTGAACCACTTTGGCTATGGCTGCCTCAGAGGAGTCGACGGGGGAGAGGGCCGACTCTAGAAACCATCTTATCACCAGCAAACTGGTTGGTCCACTGTGGGAGTGCTGCTTGTGAGACTGAGTTTGTTGTGGCTCCTCGGACTGATGGAAGTCCTTTGGATGAAACGTCTCAACAAAAAAAGAAACCGTCCAGAGGACCTGACTGAACTTTGATGTGCTTTCTTACTCAAGTTTACGGTAGTTTTAAAAAGTTATGCGTTATAGACGTTTGAAAATAGATTGTGATCTAGTTTACATACATATAAAATAGGGATGCACGATATTGGATTTTTGGCCGATATCCAATATGTTAAAACTTATTTGGCCGATACCTGATATGTTTGTCCTTTTGTTCCTTTGTCAGAACATAGTCCTCTTATTTAGGCTTATTTGCTACAAAAATTGTGCAACAGCTGTAAGAGCTGGTGACATATGTTCAGTAACAGCCATATAATATGTATAGCACTTTAACTTATATTAAATGAAGTGTTAAATGTTATTTATTAGCATTAGTCACCTGTGATGCTGTCTCACTTGTGGAGTCTTGTTACGAGTTCCTAGCTGCAGATCCTCTGCACTCCTGTGCATGAAGGACAAACTTTTTAAGTTCAAAGTTTTTGTCTATTCATTGTGCCATAAAACTAATCATGCTAACGCGGCTAACACGACGTCCAAATGTCTGTGGTAAAACTCACCCAACAAGTCGTGCTATCGGCTATTAGCTTCTCAATGATGTCGGAAATTACGGCGTGTAACTCGGGTAAGCCGGATAAATATCTCCGACTGGGGACGATGTAGCGAGGCTCAACGTAGTCCATAAATCTGACATCCTCAACGAAAAAACTTCCACACCGCCGACATTTTGACTTCTTCCTCTCCGCTGTGATCAGATCAGGTAGAGGCGCGTGTAACGTCATCACGTTGTGCTGGTGCTGCAGACATCTTTGTCACTGGGTTGTCGTACAAAAACAGCGTCTTTTTATATCGGCGAGTTATTTTGATGGAATGGCCGATGTCCGATATTGAACTTTAACGCTAATCTCGGCCGATGCTGATACCATGCCGATAATATCGTGCATCCCTAACATAAAAAACAAGAACTCATGTCTTAGCGTGTTGGCATCAATTCTAACTTTGTAGCATTTTATTCTACTCTTCGTCAAACTACATAAATTAACACTGACCTGTAAGTACTCTGGTTTATTGTATCACATTATCTTTGATAATTACAATGCTACAGCATGACACTAAAATAAAATAAGAAAACAAAATCAACCATTTAGCTTAGACACAATCAGATTTCAAATCTCCACGCCACACTGACACAGAAATAAAACTAGTTATCCAAGACCCTCCCCCCACAAAAAAACATAAAATACAATTTAAATACCAAAAAATGTGAAGTTTCCTTCCAACAGTGCAAAAAACACATTCAGAGCAGTCAATTCAACAATGCATATAAAGATACAATTGCCTTCCAGTACAGCAGTGAGTTCGAATGTTCTTGAAGTGAAATTAAAATCCTCACATCCACAGTTTTATCAAACAGACCTGCTGCACAAATGTAATTCAAGTAAAACCGTTCACTTCTGATTCAACATGTCTTCGCAGACAGCAAAGAAAGTCATGAATAAAACAACTGAAGCAAAAAGCAACAAGGAGCATTAAAAACTCAACGTGTGCTCAGACATTAGCCAGTGTTCTTAATGCTATTGCACCATTTAATCATTTAAATACAACCGTGTTAAATATTTTTAATATTACCTTACTGGGCAGTGATCATCAGATAAAATAAAGCAGCATTAGTAATTTAAATGTGACGTCCCCAACCGTCTAAGTGATCTGTATGAAAGAGCTGATAAGAGGGTAAAATCTGCAAAGAAGGAAACACGTGTCAAGATTTAAAACAGAAGAAGAATACAACAGGATCCAGTGACTTTAAACGTCCTTCCTTTCGTTCTCAGCGTGATGCGACCAGCCACTCCGCCTGCTTGAAGTTAATAATCTCCTTCACTGTTGCCATGGCAGCTCAGAGCAGGTCAGGCAGGATGAGGCCCGGAGGTTTGGGCTCCACACAGTTAATCCAGAAATTGGCACAGCTGGCGTGGTACTGGTGGCCCCCGTACAACAGCTTGAAGTTGTCCGTCTCCGAGTTGAAAGCCTGTTGAGGGTGAGGAGGCGAAATGTTAGAGACCTGACCTGCAGACACAATACGAGGAGGCCCACGAGAGGATGAGGAGTCCTACATCTACGCCCTCTACAGACCTGAAGGATAGGATTTGATTTCACAGATTTTAAAACTTCCTACATCAAGGCAGCAGCTCGTCAGTGTAAAAACTGTTTGGGTCTGTTTAATCAAACACCCGTGATTATACCATGAAACCAACTCATTCTATTTAAATTTGACAACTTGGAAGGGAAATGTGCATTGATGTAGGACAGCACACCTCTTGACCCCTCTCAGGCCCTGTCTGTTGACCTAAAGGTTACATCTCACCGAGCTGCGACTCCGAGACTAGTTGGAGACTCACACTCGTCTCAATATTAAAAGAAAAGATGCAAATTTTCTGTTGCCGTCTCACTGATTTCTGAGCGTTTGCATCAAGGTGACAAACAAGTTGCATGGCCACATTTACTATGGTTTTTGTACACAGCTTGTAAAACTGTATTCTGGGTCTTGCACATTATTCTTCTGACCAGCTCCGCCCACATTTATGATTTAATCTGCTGGAGTACATGCTGGAAATGAACTTGGACCAGTGTTTTAATCATGTTTTTACACCTGGACATTAGCCTTTATGTCAGGGGAGAGTTCCCGTGCGTTGTGTATGGTTGGAGATGTTGAGACGACTCGGATTGTTCCGAGAGAAAACCTGTCGCACGAGTTTTTCAAACATGCTCCAAATTTACGCAAAAACACTGCAAGACTTACGAACCATGCCGCAAATGTTGCCAGACGTTCTGGAGACTTTACCCGTTCGCCAACTAGTCACTAACGGTTGCAGCTCAGTGAAACAATGACATGTTACGTTGACATGACTACAATAAAAAAAATTAAAAAAAAACTTTTATCTTAACTCAAAAGTTGGAATTTTCCAAGATTTACCTGAAAACACAAAGTCAGAGACTTTATCAACCCAGACCTTAAAATTAACCTCTTTCAAAGAATGAATGTTGCACTGATTACCTCTAATAATCTTATGTGTTTCTATTGTCATTGTAGTGGCACTCAGTCCCTCAGTGTCAGTAACAGTTCCATATTAATGCCCAGTGTCTATTAAGTGAACAAATTATGTTTGAAACAACACAATGAGCCGTTTTCCACTCATCGTGTTAATAACAGCTAGTCTGATGATGAACTAGCTATAAAACATCCTGCAAATTGGATGAAGTCAGGTTGAACTTAACATTTCCATCGCCCATTTCCAACTTTTGAGTCAAAATAAACATGTATTTGTGCACCTTTGTTGTAGATTAAAAAAAAATAAATGTTAAACTTCAAAAAACAGAAAATATCAGAGCAACAACCAGCGAGATGGAAAGTATAACTTCATGGAAACCTCTGTTAGCACAAATGGTCAATCCAGGCAGCTGTTTTCAGACAAAACACGATTCTTTGAAAAGAGAAGAGCTACGTCGTTCTTGTGCAAATTACACCAGGCTGGTATCTAACGGATACTATCTGCTTTTACTGTACAAATAACATCCTGTGATTAACTCTCGTTAAATACGAGCGCTCGTGTCGTTAAGTGACCCTGCTGTAAAGTCCAGCCAAGTTACCAAAGGAGCAGCAGCTCTCTGGACCATACACGCATTCATACAATGAAAAAAACAATAGCTGATTGAAAAAGCCTAAATTTAATTAAAAAAATTATTTACTTCATGAAAATAAAGAGCTTGTAATAGTTACAGATAGAAGCAGGGACATGTTATATTATACACACTAAATGCACATATTTTTCTTAGGAATCCAGATGCAAAAATAGAAACAAACAACTTAACATCTGGATAACATCTTATTCTAAAGTGACTGTGTTGCTTTTCGAGTCAAAAACCTTGGTTGCATGTGGATTTATTTTCATCGAGACGAGAAGAAATGGATTTTTCGGCTGAACATTTATTGTGTGAATGTTATGAAGCGTTCACACTGTCAGATCCATTTTTCTTCTGTATCTTTCAGCTTATTTCTGCAAGTTTCAACTTTTTCTACTATTTCAGCTACTATAATGAATGTTAAAGCTAATTTAAATTTTTCAGCTAATTAAATTTTGTTTGCACTCATTTCAACAATATCCAACCTAATTCGGCTAAACTGTGCTCTTTTCACTTCCTACTTGTAATTTCAGCTTCTTTATTATTTTTTAGCTACTTTGCAGCTGTTTTTTTTTTTTTTTTTTTTTTGCTAATTTCAGCTGTTTTAAGATCATTTCTACTTATTGTGCACATTTTTGCTTATTTCAGCCTAACTGGGAAAACATGTTCTTTCTGCTTTCTGATGCTAATTTAAGCTTATTATACCTTTCAGCTAACGTTTTAGCAAATTTCAGCGCTTTTCAAATGAATTTGTTTTTCATGGTAATCTCGGCTAACTTCAGCCTAATTAACTTCTTCCTGCTAATTTCAGTTTATGCTCCTTGTAACTTATTTCTGCTTGTTTCAGCTTTTTCTGCTATTTCAGCTAGTTTATAGATGGTTTGTGCTAAATTTAGCTTTTTCAGCTAATTCCACATTTTAAAAAAAAACTTATTTCATCTCCTTGTACTTCCTTCTGGTTTAGCTTCTTTTTGCCTTTTCAGCAAATTTTTGGTAATTTTTTTTGTTGTTGTTTTTGCTAATTTTAGGTTTTTTAGCTAATTTCTTAATTTTTGTGCTTATTTAAACCAAATTTTTCAAATGTGTTCTTTCTGCTTTCTTCTGCTAACTTAGGCTTGTTCTTTCATTTTAGCTACATTTCAGCTGTTTTTAAATAATTTCAGCTGTTTTTTTAGCAAGTTCTTCAGCAATAAGATAAAACTTTGTCTACCACAATTGTGGCAGAAATTCTCCTTTGACACGCTCTACATTCAAACATATACAAGAACCAACAATAGAAAATAAAAATAAAACCACATTATCACCATCAGTAACCACCATTAAGATGTGTCTATCTTTGTTTAAGAATATTAGTGCTGATGGTACAAATGAGTTCTTATAAATATTCTTCCTGGCCAGTGGGACTCTGGAACGCCTGTTTGATGGAAACATCTGGAAGCAGTTGTGTAGAGGACGTGAGGGGCAGGGTGGCTTCCTTGGTCACTGAGTGGCTTTAGAAATCTGACAGGGGGCCCTGAGGTGAGCCAGTTATTGCACTTGATTGTTCAATAATAATAATAATAATAATAATAATAATAATAATAATAATAATAATAATAATACTTATTATTATTATTTATTAATATTAATTATTTAATAAGCATTCACACTTAATTTTTGCAGGAAATGCAATTTCTCTAGTTTAAACTGAGCTTCTTCTCTAGTTACTTTTGCAAACATAAGACATCAGCAAAAATATCTTGTGAAATTCAGTTTGTTTTCGCAGGTATTTATTATTTGATTCTGTCCTCGTTTAAAAAAAAAAAGAAGAAGTTAAATTTCTGTTTTGTATGGGAAGTTCTAGCAGATGTGAGTTTGATGCGTTGGGTTACATGATGTGATGTGTTTTAATCACAGTCACGCATCAAATATGAATCTATTTATTTATTTTGATCAAAACACTAAGAAGAAATCACGTTAAACGTAGCTGTGTGACCCCTCCATGTGAGCCTGGACTTCCTCTGGGCGCAGCTGCAACACTTTGTGTGCAACCAGGAGACGCTAACATCCCCGCTGAAATCGTGGCGATGAACCTGGAGCGAGGAATGAGTCATGTGCAGTGAATCAGAACCTTCCACACAAGCAGAGGGAGACGCAAGCAGAAAGCAAGGATTGCGTGTGAATAAAAAAAACTAAAAAAGGAATCTCACCACTATAACACACCATTAAGTCAAACACATCTCCACCTGCCTGCTCTGATGCTCTGCTGGCTGCCTAATGGGAGCTGAATGACACATTTTCCACTCGTCACCTTTTCTCACGCTCACATTTCACAAGCAGAGCGATTTCCTTTCAGCGCTCTTTGTGCCCTGGCCTACTTGTGCCTGCAAACCTACACCTGGAACCTGGGGAGGGCAGGAGAGGATTTGAAATGAGAAAGGTGGTCACACAAAGACACGCTGTAAGAAATCCACCATTCAGCGCAGAGCTGCATGGATCAGAGGCTAACTCCACCCGTTTCATCAGGGTGGGGGCCTTTAGAGCAGCAGCCCATTAGGTGATACACTCATGGACTCGAGCTGAAGTTATCAGATTAAACGAACGCTTTTAACTGTATGGTTTATCTACTTTAGGTGCAAAGAATGTTTGTTATCACCAGCTGCCAAAGGTGAAAGGCTATGATGGCTTTGCCCATCTGTGTTTGATTGTTGCGTTAATAAAATATCTCATGAACCACTGAACTAGGTTTTAATGAAACTGTCTCCTTACAACTGTTCACTTTTGGAGTCAACCCCATTCAAAATGGCCCAGAATCTTCCCGATGACATCACTGGTTGAGGTCAATAGCGTCCCACCTTGACTGAACACAGTGGTAGTAAAGAGCTGTCTCCTCAGCCGACTGTGTTCAGCGAAGGTGGGGTGCAGTTGACCTCAACCAGTGTTGTCATCGGGAGGTGCAAGGAATACTTCTCAGACCTTCTCAATCCCACTAGCATGACCTCCATGGAGGAAGCTGATTGGGGGACTTCGGGGTTGGTCTGTCCATAACTGTGGCTGAGGTCGTCGAAGTAGTTAAAAAGCTCCACGATGGCAGTGCTCCTGGGGTGGACAAGATCCGCCATGATTTCCTTAAGGCTCTGGATGATGTGGGGCTGTCTTAGTTGACACGCCTTTGCAACATTGTGTGGATATTGGGGGCAGTGCCACTGGACTGGCAGACTGGTGTGGTGGTTCCCCTCTTCAAAAAGGGGAAGTGGAGGGTGTGTTCCCATTTTAGGGGCATCACTCTCCTTAGCCTCCTTGGTAAGGTCTATTCAGAGGTACAGGAGTAGTGAGTCTGATCAATGGTCCAACCTCAGATACAGGAGG